AATTTTTACATACAATCCACGAAATTATTATTTATTATTTTGCTGACACTTAAAATTCATTATGTACGAACAAATCACACAATTCTTATGTATTACATATCTAGTACAAACTTTAATTTTTACAAATATTCCACACAATTCTTATGTATTACATATCTTACAAATATGTTTTAATTTTTCTATACGAACCACACAATTCTTATTTATTGCATATCTAACATTTAAACTTCAATTTTTACATACAAATCACACAGTTCTTATGTATTACATATCTGACATATGAACTTCAATTTTTACAAACATTCTGCATAATACTTATGTATTACATATCTAGCACAGAAATTTCCCTTTTTTCAATCATTCCACACAATTCTTATGTATTACATTTCTAACATAAAAATTTCAATTTTTACATACCAATCACTCAATTCTTATGTATTACATATCTAACACATAAACTTGAACTTTTACATACAAACTACTCAATTCTTATGTATTACATATATAACACATAAAATTCAATTTTTACATATAAACCACTCATTTCTTGTGTATTTCATTTATAACACTTAAACTTCAATTTTTACGAACAAACTACTTAGTTCATATGTTTTACATATCGAGCATCTATACTTTAATTTTTACATACATCCTGCTCAATTCTTATGTATTATACATCTAACATCAATACACTTCAAAACTAAAATCAGCGAACAAACCACGATGAAACGACAATAAATAGGTGGAAACAAGTCAAATAAGAGCTGCTCTTACGAAAAACAAATGAAAACAAGATACAAAAGATCTACTTTTGAAAGGTAGATCGACTCTCCCACACCCTAGACTTGGCTAGGAATAACACCAAAAGAAGAGAAACCAACCGCCAACAAAATAATGCCTAATGAAAGCAAACCGTAGGTTCCCCTAATAAAATCCCCCCAAACCATTTCAAAATCTTTCCTTCCTTCGAACTCCTTTAATATCTCCTCCTTACATAGGTGATTATGGCCCTAGTGAACCCCGCCCTTTCCTTTCCTTCTTCTACGGTTCCCTCTGTCTGCTTTGCTTCTTCTCGTCATTCGGACCGGCCTGCCTATTGGTCGACTATAAAGCTTCCAGTCGGTCCAGTGGTAGATCGACCCGTGTATGGGCATAACATTACTTCCCTCTTAAAAAAAGTACCTTGTCCTCAAGGTGAAAGGACTGAAATTGCTTGTGGATCTCCTCGTAAGGCTCCCATATTGCTTCATAGTCTTGCAACCCCTTTCATTTGGCCAATCCTCCTTTGCTCCCCTACTCCTTGGCACACTCCTTCAATCTCTAACGACTGCAAGATCATCTTCAAGTCTTATGTCAGCGCTTACGGTAGTGCAGACGAGAGTGTATGATCTCTAATCGCACTTCTCAGCTATGAAACATGGATGACCAAGTGTAGTGCGGAGATGGTGGTAACCTCAAGCGATAAGCCACTTCCTCGATATATGTCATCTCCTCATATGGTACAAAGTATTGTGGTAAAAGTATGTCCCTTCTTCTGGCCTAAGTCTTCTGTCGGTAGGGCCTGAGTTTTAAGTAGACCATATCCTCTGGTTCAAACTGCACCTCTCTCATGTGTTCATCTGCTCTCCTCTTCATGATTTGTCGAGCTCTTAGTAAATATCCCTTAAGCTTTGATTTTATCTTGTCTCTCTTCTCCAAGTACTAATCGATGCTAGATACTGATATGACGTCATGTCCATAATGTACCACGTACGGTGGATCCGACCCATACAATATCTTGAAAGGGGTGGCCTGTGATGTAGTGCGGTACGTGTTATACAAATTTTCGGCCCATGCAATCCACTTGGCCCATAGCTTCGGCGAATCAGATCCAAAACAATGCAAGTATGTCTCCACACTGAATAGCTCCGTCTTCCCATCAATGCAATGCTCCTTTTAAGAATTGTCCTTTACAACCTGAATAGCTCTTTCAAGAAGTGGCTGAGGAACACTTTGTCCCTATCTGAAACAATCGATTTCGGTATTCCGTGCAAATAGACAACTTCCCTGATAAGCACCGTTGCGATTGAGACTGTTTTGTAGGAATGATATGAGGAATGGAATGTGCTTACTTAATCAGGCAATCCATGACCACCATGATCATAGTGAACCTTTTTGACCGTGGTAATCCCTCGATAAAATCCATCATCAATTTTTTCCAAACCTTCCTCGGTAATGCTCGTGGTTGTAATAACCCTCCTGACGCCGTGGTCAAGTACATGTGCCCCTGAATTATGTCACATTTTGCCACTATATCCTCGACGTCTCTGTGCTTCCCCACCCAATAAAGTTATGCCGCCTGACGACTGTAGGTCTTTTGCCCCTGAATGTCCTCTATTCGCACTGCCTTGAATCTCATATAATAATATGGGAATATACTCCGACAATTTGCTAGCACAATTCGCCCTTGGAGTAGCTGTTGGCCCCTCACTGCATAATCTGGATGACTGTATGGATCCTGTAGAAAATTGACTTTTTGTTTTCTTAGCTCTTCATCCCTTTCGCTCTTTTGTCTCAACGCCTCCCAATCTAGGACCAAGGGTACCCATAGGGCTGTCAATTGAGGTTCATCAAGTCTTCTCGACAATTCATTAGCTGCTTTGTTCTCCAATCCTGGCCAACACTGATTCTCGAAATCATACTTCAGTAGCTTGGATAGTCATCTCTGATGTTTCTTAGTCACCATTCGCTGCTTCAGAAAATACTTCAAACTCCTTTGATCTGTCTTAACCCAGAATGCAGTTCCAACATGTAGAGCCGCAACTCTGATGGCCAAGACAACTGCCATTTATGTCGGGCTTTAGGCCTTTTAAGAAATTCCCTTCTAGTTCATGCTGCAAAAATCACCCTGAACCCCTTTGACAAGAGCTCAAACGTTTCCCGATTTTCCATTATGTTACCCCGCGAGTCAGAGTTTAGAATTGCTTGCATAGGTTTCCTTCTCGATTTTCTTAGAAATGCTCCAACAAGTAATCCTTAAACTCCTCCCATGAGTGCATCGGATGCCTTGCCTCCGTTGACTAAAATCATGCTAAAGCCTCTCTTCAAGCATAATCCCACTGCCATGAGCTTCTCTTCCACAGTCAAACCATTGATTGCAAAGTATCACTCCACCCGGTACCCCCATCCATGTGCATCATCCCCTTTGAACATTGACATCTTTAGTTTTCTGACCCTTGCATCTCCACTTTAACCTTCTCTTCCTCCAGTATTTCCCCTCATGTAGATAGGGCGGAACTCTCTTCATCGATCATAGTTATATCCCACTCCCAAATCCATCCATCCTCCCTCTTTCTCTTTCGCGCCCCTTACACAATTCCTCCAATTTTCGGGCCATCCCCCTCCATCAGAAGTCTGCACTCCCCCATCCTCTCGGAGTCCTAGGAGGATGTTCTTGTAGGTAGATGATGTCTTCTTCGTTCTCTTCTCGCTCGATCTCCTTCCCTTTTAATCTGGCAACGGATTCCTTGATCAACCTTTGGCTAGGATTTGCAACTGGAGCAATTGGCATGGCTCTGTGTGCATCTCCATGAGCTTTTTCATCATCTCCCACATTTCTTCCATGCTCTCAAATTCATCCTCCATTCGACTTTCAATGGAAGAAAACCTGTCCTCTATGGTGGCGAACCTCTGTTCGATTCTTGACCTGACTTGCCCTACTTATTCTTCTAACGCATCCACTTTCTTTGCTGCCATCTCGCCAAGATTTATACTCTTATACCAATTTCGTACGCCTCGGAGTCAAAATCAGCAAACAAACTACGACGAAATGACAATAGATAGGTGAAAACAAGTCAAATAAGTGCTGGTCTTACAAGAAACAAATGCAAATAAGCAAGATACAAAAGATCTACTTTGAAGAGGTAGATCGGTTCTCCCACACCATAGACGTCGCTAGGAATAACACCAAAAAAAGAAAAGCTAGCAGCCAACTAAATAATGCTTAAAGAAGGCAAACCCTAGGTTCCCCTAATAGAATCCCCTCACAGCATTTCAAAAACTTTCCTTCTTAACATTCCCTCCCAACTCCTTTAATTTCTCCTCCATGCATAGGTGTTTATGGCCCTAGTGGACCTCACCCTATCCTTTCCTTCTTTTGGAGCTCCCCCTGTCTACCCCGCTTCTTACTGTGTCCGCACACAAATCTTATGTATTACATATGTAACACATAAACTTCAATTTTTACATATAAATAATTTAGGTGTTAGATATGTAAATACTTATGAATTGGGTGGTATGTACACAAATGGCTATTTCTGGATTTATTAAATCGAACAACCCTAAATTCTACATGCAGCCAAAGGAATTGCTAAAACCTAATACATAAATCTAAAATAAAATGCATTAATTCGGCAAAGAAAAGTTAAAAGAATCAACAAATTATATATGGAAAAAAAAGGAAAATTTTTTTGGAGTGCTTGGGTAAAAGGAAGAGGAGTGGTCTCAAGGTCATCTGACGATGGCTTTGACACTCGCCTTAAATGAAGGCTACAAAAAATTTTCATTCAATGCATCAAAACAATAATAATAAGAAGGACCATACCTTAGGTCCTATATATAATGGAACTAAAATATGAATTTAGGATGAAAGCATCTTTATCTTTATTAATTCAAACTAACAAAACAATAAATATATAAATAAATATAAAATTCAGCCTGACCAATATAGCATGAAAACAATGTTGGTGAGCACCTTCATGCTCTCTCTTAGTTTGACAATTTTGCACTTACATTGTACTAAACTTTATTGATTTTGACTAAAATTTACTAAATGTTTTTGGCTTATCTTTCAAACTTGATGTCGATTCTTTTAACAAGATTGTGGAACAAAGTATGACTTGTAATTTGAATTTACCTATCTTCGTCCTTTCTAATTAATGTGCACTTAGTACTGCTCTACAAATTTTCATTCTTTTGGATTTTGATTATTTTGTGAATGATGCTTATACTCGTATGGTCAGTTGCCAGGTAAAAATGCTCGTCTGAAGAAAGCCAAAAGATTATGGTATCAGACATTTGGCTCGAAGATAGAAAAAAAGGTATTTGGTTTTTGATTGCTTACATTTTCTACTTGGGTATGGCTATGCGTGTATGTGTGTCAGTGGAGCTATTACCATTTTTCCATGTGAACAGGGAATTCCATGTGCATTTTCTAGATTTTATCTAGCTTTGCTCTATTATTCTTAAAACAATAGCTTGATGGGTAGCCTAAATATGAGAAAAAATATTTGTAGTTCTTTTACAATCACTCTCTTTTAATTTGTATGTTTTAAATCCTTTTGATTGTTACAGGGTTGTTTCAATAATTTTTTCCTTATGAAAAGTGAATCTATAAAGGTTGTGCTATACTTGTATAATTCCCCCATCCCATCACCCCCCAACCACAGTCATACACACACAATCCTTTTTATATGCGTATATGAATAGACGAAGGGAGGAGGGAGGGAATGCTTGAAATGAAATTTTCTCTTCCTAGAGATTGTCATTTTAAAAGGGAATGCATGATTTTGAATGTGCATTTGAGAGTCGTTACATTGAATCTATCAGAAGACAGGGGGCAGGGTGGATGTTTGAAATGAATTTTTCTCTTCCTAAGATTGTCATATTAGAAGGGAATGCATGATTTTGATTGTGCATTTGAAGGTCATTACATTGAGTCTATATACATGTAGAATAACAATTCTTAGGGGTGTCAAAAATATACCGGAAACTCCTACTTGACTCTATCCTGACTCAAAAAATTCAGGTTTGGGTGGGCTGGATTAATTCTGGATAAATCCTAGCACAATTTTTTGGATTGGGTTTGGGTTGACATGCTAACATGAAATTGATCTTGTTGACCCAAATATGTGTTCGATTTGACCTGTCAATCCAAAAATGACCTGAATTTGACTCGAACATGACTTTAATATAACTCAAATTTAACTTAATTTGCTTTTATGCATATATATTAAACGGGTTATATTAGTCGGGTTCAGGTTGGGCGGTTGGATTTATGTTACACCTTTTGACCTGCTTAATATTCGGGTCGGATTTATGTCAAAAATGTTGACCTTCATGTATACTTTGACACCTAAGTCTTGTAGATGTGATGAAATTGGTGAACAAATGAGAAAGTACGTCAATCAAGTCATTATTATATTTATTTAATATAAAAGGGACTTTTTCAAGCTCGACTCAATACATACAATCAAAAGGGTAAATTACAAAAGCAAAATCGTGCAAATTGACCTAAAATCTTCTCAAACGTCATCGATGTCGTTCAAATTATGCACATTTTTGTGACCTTGCTTGCTTTCGAGATCGATGACCCACCTTCATCAAGATTTTCCAAATGTCGCCCATTCATGAAATAATCTATCCAAACGATAAAAATTTCTCAGCAAATTTCTTGCACAGATGAGGAAATATGAAATCTATCCATGCACGTGGCCGACAACATGCATTTTGAGGCACTCGAATGGTGGAATTATGAGGCAAACTATTATATATATGTGTATATATATATATATATATATATATATATATATTTAAAAAAAAATTAAAAGAAATGGTAAATGGAGGGGGGAGGATCCCCTTCTAAGAAACCAAAAATACAACTAAACACACCCCTAGGGGTTCCTCTCCCCACAATACAACTCACACAAAAAGAAATTTCCAAAATTACAGGTATACCCAAAACCAAATAGCAAAAACCCAAAAAGAAGTAAACCTGTGATCTAGTATATCTAGAGAAGTGACCTGTGCACAGAAAATCTTCCGGTTAGCATTGATTATCCCAAAGCAATCCCATGAGTAGACCAAAGAACCGTCATGCCGCAATTCAAAGAGATTGAAAACAACTCTCCCCAAAAGTCCAAAGCTTGAGACGATCGGATCCTCAACATGCATCCTAAAGGGATTCTCCTGAGGAGAACTTCTCGACAATGGCATTTATCTTACTCCGTGACATGTTCCTTAATCCAGAATGGAAGCCAACAAGGAAATCACATTTCCAAAATTTTAGACTTCAAGCTTTTAAGAATACATGCAAGTGCTTTTGCAACAATAAATCTTTTCACAAATATTATGCATTTAGTGTTCTCTTTTAACAGTGAAAGCAATGTGTCAATAGACTCACTAAGGATCTGTTGGGGGCAGGGGCAGGGGCAGCTGCAGCTGTCTGAAGTAGTTGTGAAGGAAAATCACAGAAAAAAGTAGCTAGTGACGAGCCAGTTTAGTCCTGCCTCTACCTCTAGCTCTAGGGCGAGATCCAGATAACAAATTATTGAGTGCCGAGCCATTTCTCGAAGTAACCAAAGTATCATCCATTAGGTTCCCTAGCTGAAGTTTGCCTCCAATCTTCTTCTTCCTCCTTGAATAGACCTGCCATTCCTTCTCAGAATACTGACTCATCTGATCATCGTGTTGGTAAACAGAACGCCGAGCAGATAACAGCTGATGAGCACTTGAAGAAGGATTGTTAACTGTTGCAATGACTGTAGGTTCAAGTATGTGTGAAACATGAAATATCTCATCTTCACCCAATGCTTCCTGCAGCTAAGGAGGGTTTGAAAGTGTAAGTTGCTCAGCAGGGTCATCTAGCTTGTCATCGATCGCAAAAATAGTATTTTCAGAGCGAGAATCCACAGGGGCGATTAACTCAGACACCATAACCTGTTCTGTAGCCAAATCATCAGCCAAAACCGTACCTTCATCCCTAGCCGGGATAACAAAATCTTGTACAGGAACATCATCCTGATTACTAGCAGCCATCAAATTAAGAGGAGGGGAGGAAATAGGAATAATAGGAAGCGCCAGACCATTAAAAACCTACGTATTAGGCTCACTAGGTGCAATATCATTAGAAACAATCAACCTCAGATTAATATTAGTATTCGAAACAGTTATAGGAGTAGTAATAGGAGGCATAGAGACAGAAACAAAAGCCCCCTCAGAGGAGGATCAGAGGGAGCAGAGTGAACATCAATGCTGTCCTTTGTCACATGCGTAAGGGAAGAAGAAAGGGGGGCATCAGCTGGTACAGACCTAGCAGCCGCACCATCAGGCCACTGCTGCTGAATCCTCCCCTCCCTTTTCCTTAAATCAGGATTAAACTTGAAACATTGCTCTTGATCATGTCCAAACATCTGACAATGTTTACAATAGGAAGGGTGTTGCTCTAAACTTACCTTTTGCCAGTAACCTATATGCTTCGAACCGATCCAGACCTCATTCGGAGGAGGTAAAGTGACATCCCTTTCGATCAGAACTCTAGCCAAGGAGGGTTGTGTAAGGTTATACGTAGGAGCATCTAATTTCAGCGGTCTCCCAAACATAGCCTCTAAAGAAAAAAGAACCTCATGATTAAAAAGGTGAACTTTCATATAAGGGAACCTGATCCAGACAGGGATGACCGGAGCTTCTACCTGGGGATCAAAACTAGAAGACCATTTTAGCACCTTCATCCCAATGTTCTCAAACTAGACCATACGCCTAGCAAACAGCCGAGTATAATCTTCCTCATTCGCTAACTGAATCAAAATGTGACTTCCATCTAGCGAACCAATTTTCCACTCTCCCGCGAGTTTAATCAGCTCAAAGTGTTGTCTTAGAAAACCTAGCTTAGGAATACCATAAATGAACTTTCCGACCAGATGTAAAAGACAAGAAGAGGCAAGTTCAACATTCTCAGCATCAGTGAGGAAGCGAGCTGTCCCCCTTTCCGGCAGGGGCGGCGAACAAAAGAGGAGACAGAATCAAGCTCGAGATTTTCGTAGAAAACAGAGGGGAAGTTAGGAATACCATCAGAGGTGATGCTGGCGTAAAAGCGAGGCCTCCGACTCGCCTCACCACGGCCGTCAGCCTGACGGCGGCGAAAGAACACACCATGATGAAGGATCATCCAAATCGTCATAGAAACACAAACCCTAGCAGCAAAGACAGAGACATCCCGTATCATATATATATATATATATATATATATTAGTTAAACTTAATTGGCTGAGCTACATAATTAGAATAAAAAATAATAATAATTTGGCACATATAAACACATATATCTATATATTTTTATTAAATTCAAGTAAATCACATTATATTCAAGTATTTTAATTGAAATGAAAATTAATGTAGTTTATTTTTTTATTTTAATTCAAATGAACCAACACACCCCACGCATACCAAAACACACGCAAA